TTGGAGTATGACCGTTCGCGCCTCAATCCCGATGGATCGGAGCTACGAGTCATACGGCTCCGCTGTATATCAGCAAGGAGGAGTCATCCACGAACGTGGGAAGGCCCTCGACCAATCATAGAGGTTATGGGAACGAGATATTCCGGATTGCGTGCTCATTTCATATATTATTTATCAGCTTGTAGCGTAATCATTGTTTGTAATCGTATATAGAAACAGTATATAAGGGCGCCTGCTCGAGAGGGAACAGTAGCGAATCGCGCCAGTGGCTGGTTGGAGGCTAGGAATAGTCACAACCAGCTGCTTGGTTAGATTGTGTGCTCTGTTCGCCTTAAGGCATTGCTCAGTAGAGTCTGCTTTATAGTGTGTGAATATACCTTTGGATTGATATAAACACCTGAGCCTGGAAGTTATAACATTTGAGCCTGGAAGTACATTGGCCTGGAAGTTAAACATTTGAGCCTGGAAGTCACAATACATTGAGCCTGGAAGTTTTATTGGCCTGGAAGTTTACCTGGCCTGGAAGTTCTTACAAGTTTATACTTGTTCAATCGCGTTTATACAGTTCACCAGTGTGTTCTGGGGGGTTTACAAGCCAATCGCATTGGCGACTAGTTGGCGGCTAGAATATAGTCACGATTAGTTGTTGGTAGGTTGTGTGCTCCTTTACGGAAATCAACCATATACACGATTTAAAACACTGTTCTTGCATCTGCTCCAGGCCATATACACCATTGTACTCGTAGTCGACAATCAAGTCGATCCGTTTATAATTGTTGAAAGCCTGTTGAGCCCAGTCGATACCATTGCTGAAGGGCCTTTGAGCCCGAATAAAACCCAATATCGCGATCAAATCGCACCCCATTGTATCTCGGAAGGCCCTAAAAGCGCCGACCTACTGTGTGTTGTGTATACAATCTAGTCGATTGCAGACAAACATCCTTGGGATCGCTCGGACAAGGGCCATTTACACAAGTGATTCTTGGAAAGACTATCACCGTAAATCTCGTCTGATAGACCTAATACTTGGTCTTATCCCCGAACAAACAACACAATGACTTCTGTCTTGCAGTGGTTTAGTGTTAGGTTGGTGGTTTTGTGGTAGTTAGTTGTTGGTCTCGACCTTCAGCACTCCTGCATTGCACTATTCCTGCTCACTTCCCACACTGCTGGGTCAGTTGCCAGTGTATCAACGTGTCCGAGCACGAGCGCACATGGGTCGCAGCGAGTGCCGCGGGCTCGGGCGGGGGAACCCTCGCATCACACTTCCATCCTTTTCGACGTGGGCGGGCAGCGCTCGGAATGCCAGAAGTGGATCCACTGCTGGGCGAACGTGATGGCGCTCGTGTTCCTCCAGTGTCGCTGAGCGAGTACGACCAGACGCTGTATGAGGATGAGAGTATGACATGTGTCGAGTTCCTCTCGTCGTATCCTTGATTCTGTCGCACCCGATTCCTTGGTCCCTTCGCCCCGCTTCCTTAACCCATTCGTACCCAGCACCCCCAGAACCGCATGCAAGAGGCGCTGACGCTCTTCGACTCGATCTGCAACTCGCGCTGGTTCGTCAAGACGAGCATCATCCTGTTCCTGAACAAAATCGATCTGTTTGCGGAGAAGCTGCCTCGGAGCCCGTTGGTGCGTTTCTATCTGTCTACGTTCCTTCTTCCTTCGCACATTTTCCCCTTCCCTTTTGCTTCGCCTTGCCTCTTTGGGTTTCCGCCCCACGTTCTGCGCGCGACGGCGTCCCCTCCCTCTTCGCCCACGCCCCCACTGTGCCTAGCGTTGAGCGCTGTGGCGACAGAGTGGCCTTCTCGACTGGGATGTCGATTTCCTTTTTGACTTATGAACTGTTTCTTTCCAAGTCGCTCGATAGCTTTACCACCGAGCCCACATCCTTCGTTGCCTGCCTTCCTTGGATACTGCCATGCGTCTCCTTCCCCCCTTGCCCCTCCATTTATGCCGACGTCGGGTTCGTCTATCGACGCTGGGCACCTCCCCAGGTCTATCGACGCCACCACTTCCATACTTAACTTACCGACCTACCTACGTCTCCTGGCCCCTTCCCCTCCCTCTCTCCTTCTCTCCTTCTCTTCTCTCACTTCCTCCCCCCCGACGCTAACCCTCCTCCCTTAGGGCGACTACTTCCCGGACTACATGCGGGGACAACTGCGACGCGGCGTGCGACTACCTGCTGCACCGGTTCGTGTCGCTGAACCAAAGCGCGGCGACGAAGCAGATCTACGCGGATTATACGTGTACGGCAGATACGCAGTAGATTAACTGTGCGTGTCATTTCCCCGCCCTTTATCCTCCACCGCACCTTCGACCCGGTTCCTCCCGTCGTCGATTGCGAGGAGCCGCCCGCTCCCCGGCGCCGAGTCGTAAGAGAGCGGTGCCCACCCCACCCCACCCCTCCTCCCCGCTACCGTTACCGACGCCGTACTGACGCCCTTGTTTCACAGTCGTCCTGAGCGCGATCTAGGACACCTCCTGCAGCTTCACCTGCGCGAGTGCGGGCCCTTCGCCTCGCCTCGCCGTCCGTTCCTACTCAATTCTTGCTCTGCGTCCGTCCGCTCTTTCCCGCCCACGTCCACGACCGCACATCCGTATCCATAATCTGCTCGACATCACCATCCTCCAGCCCAGCCACGTACGCCCTACGCTCTACCCTTCTACCCTGCCCCCTTCCTACCCACCCCCGCATATCTTCATCGGCGCCCTCGATACCTACATACATACACCGCCGTTTGTACTGGATATTTTTAGGATATTTTCCGGTGAGTGTTTTTCAAATATGCCTCAGACATTTGCAAGATAAAAGCAAGGTCAATCCCACGAGGCTTTCTTGAGAACAATATATGGGAGATGTTGTGGGCTACATTTTCACAATCCATCTGTTATGTTTAGCAGCGAATATTTGACCGTTGTCCTTAGATACATTCCAAATGAGTAAAAAATACATTTTAGTACGACTTAGCAACAGATGCATTGGGAAACTCGGGTCAGGAAGAGAGATATATCTGTCCGCTCACCACCCGAGATACGCGAACCGAGGCTTCGGAGGTCTTTCTCCAAGTTCTAGCTGCATGCTGCATGACACTGTATGGCCTGTCGATGTGGCACCTGGGGGCAGGATGTCAGGCCAGTCATTGGCATGGAAAAGGAGAGAACGAGAGAGACGCACTGAGTTGTTCCCTGCACCTGCTTAGCTTTCCTTCCCAATCATTGTACACCCCGGCAAGCGTGCCCGCGGCATTGAAAGCACATGCGTCATCGGTGACGAGCTCGCTTGGGACGTCAGTGATTAATCCAGGACGTAAGGCACTTTAAAGGGGGGGCTTGAGTATTGACGAGGAGGTCATGAACACTTGAGAGTGACTTGAAGCTTGAAGACATCTTGAGGCACGATTCTGAGGTATACATAGTTTCAGTGCAGCATCTTGAGGGACATTGAGGGATGTGTCTTTGATTCAAAATATCGCAGCAAGAGGCCACAAGCTCAGGCAGCTCAAGATTTGAAGACAGGTTTGATGAGTCGTTGAGGCGTCGCCTTGAGGTGTCCACGGGCGCTGGAGGAGCAAGGAGTTTGACATTGAGGGAGGGTGAGCTCCTTGCCAGCGTCGGATGGAGGGGCAAATGCTGGGAGACGAAAGGGCTGCTGGAGGTGACAGTGGAAAGGTGAGAAGAGAGAAACGACCAACATGCACGTGGTTGGACATGCGCGTGCAAACAATGCGCACAGACCTGATTCCCACGATTCCCAAGAACTGCGGCAGATAAATATTGGCTATGAGGGATTACCCTAGTAGCAGTCGTTACTGGCACATTGTTCAAATAAGATATTCATCCGTATCCAAGGACCTGAGACCAAACCAAGACCAAACCCAAACCACATGTTTCACCACACACTTTATTTTGTTAACGGGCTCCGACTTGGCTCCGGCCTTATAATACCCTGAATCAGCACCTCCCAGTCGACATCAGCATTATTGCCTGCCAAATTCCTACCCTCGCTCGTGAAATGAGTCCAGTTGTGAATATTTTTACTCACCATATATGAGAGGTTTCGGAAATATTATCAAAGCATCCCTCAAATGTCGGGCAGATATTTCACTGCAAATGTCACCGAAATGTGTTCATGACATGGCTCGTATATTTCGTGGCATATTTATGGGATATTTAGACCAAACATCTCAAAAATAAAAATCCCGACTGGTGGTGTACACTTGGATTTGGAATTTGGTTTGGAGTTTGGAGCCTGGAGGTCGGTTGTTTGGTTTGCAGTTACGCTTACGCCCGCCCCACCCCATTATATTATTCATATTCATCATTTCTATCGTCCATGCCTATACGTCTACTTTCTTCTTCCCTTTTCCCCCTTCATGTCCGTGATGCGGCTACGGCCCCGAAATAGTTAGTTGATGCCGACTCTTTACTTTTTTTCCCCTTCTTCTCCTTACATTTTGATGTGGAATAAAATTCATAAATTCACGTTCTTTCGCAACATGTTGGAACTTGAAGTGTGAGTTCGGCTGACGGGAACTTAACTTGAGGCGAGGGAAAAAGGAAGAGGAGGGGAGGATGGGCGGGATGGGGATATGTATGTCTGCACCCGGCAACGCCGATGTTGGTATTAAGGATGGTGACATGCGCGACAGCGGGCATATCGTGTCAGGGGTGACTTGAATGATTCACGTATAGGCATGAGTGATAACCGGGGATGGAAGGGCAGGACAGGAAGAAGCGGGGCAGATCAGAGCGATAGGAGGCAGTAATGTGATGGCAGTGTGAGCCATCACCCTGTGATAACTCCCGACGTGACCTCAAAACCCCGAACTCCGAGAACGTGGCTACAGCTTGACATGAATCTTAAAAAGCAACCTTACCCAGACATGGCTCAACAGAGAATCGAAAACAAAACACCTATGTACGAATTCGGAATGCATTACCGCTATGCCACCGAGCTGCAGACAACAAAAGAAATATTTTTTTAACGCAAATGGCCTGACGGAGAATCGAACTCCGGACTTTCCGTCGAACAATATATGAACGTTGCATATAGGTACACAGAGCGTGTTACCATTATGCCACCAAGCCATTCAAGAGTTGAACTCAAAGACTACCAAGGACCAACTCCGAGTTAAAAATATTATCCGGACCCAACCCATGGCTTGACGGAGAATCGAACTCCAGACTCTCCAGAAACAATATGTGAACATTGCATATAGGTACATGGAGCGCGTTACCATTACACCACCAATCCATTCAAGAGTCAAACTCAAATGACCACCAAGGACCAACTCCGAGTTAAAAATGTTATCCGGACCCAACCCATGGCTTGACAGAGAATTGAACTCCGGACTTTCCGTCGAACAATATGCGAACGTTCCATATAGGTACATGGAGCGCGTTACCATTTCACCACCAAGCCATGAATCGAATGACCAAAATGCCAAATAACCTTCATCGTGAAAAGAATGGTTTCCGTCGAATGGCTTGACAGAGAATTGAACTCCGGACTTTCCGTCAAACAATATATAAATGCTATATATCACCACGGAGCGTGTTACAATTATGCCACCAAGCCATGAATCGAATGACCAAAATGCCAAACAGACTGTCGCCATGAAAGAAAAAGAAGGGTTTCTGTCGAAATGGCTTGACGGAGAATCGAACTCCGGACTTTCCGTCAAATGATGATAAGACCGGTGTCTGCCTAAGCAGTGCGAGCAATGTATTAGCTGCGAATAGCAAGTTGAAGGTATAAACCAACAACTAACAACCCACCAGCTACCACCTAACCACTACTGCACTACTCTCAGACACGTGTCCCTTGTTTGTTCGGGGGTGACGAGTCAAGTATTAGACTCTCGAGAATGAGATTTGGTTGTGTTTGAACAATTTATAGGGTGTTTCGACAAGGCTTGACAGAGTTTCAACAATCGTAAACGGATCAACTTGATTGTCGACAACGAGTACAACAGTGTATATAGGCCTCAGTATGGAGTACCTGCTATATGAACCTGCTTCGAAGCTCCCCTAAGGTGTCCAACATTCAATGACTAACTGTTAGGGCTCACAATAGTCCTTATACAGATGTCCTTAGTGTATATGGTCATGATATATGCATAAAATGTGATTTTCACGGCCAGAATTGTACACTGCTTATCAACAATATACAAATGCATTAGATCACCACAGAGCACATTATCATTACGCCAACAAGCCGTAGGAATCGATCGACCAGCTAAGACTATCGCCATGGGAAAAAAAGAAAGGTTTCCGTCATAGTGGCTCAGGGGAGAATTGAACTCCAAACCCTCCGTAAAGCATACCGTAAACTACATAGGAATGTGGAGTGTGATACCATTGCGCCACTGAACCGTTCAAAACGTGCCATATCTTCTTACTCGATGGGCAAAAAATGCAAGGCCCGTCAGAGATTCGAACCCCGGTCCCTCCATTATTCAGTTTCCCACCAGTTACGCGAACAGAGTGCGTTACTACTACGCCACCAGACCATAGGTACGACCGTTACAGATGTCCGGTTATCGGCACACAAAAAGGAATGGAACAGAGGGATGGCTCGACGGAGGATCGAACTCTGGACTTCCTGCAAGACAGCTCTTGTGCAAGAACCAACAAAAAGTGGATAGCACAAGAGAAGGGCTCGACAGAAGATCGAACTCCGGACTTCCTCCAAGAGGCGCTTGTGCAAGAACCAACACAGGAGGTCTTACAATTACGCCATCGAGCTGCAAATGCATACAGCCCGGAAGGATGGAACAGGAACTCCGGGTGATCAAAAAGTGGATAGCACAAGAGAAGGGCTCGACAGAGGATCAAACTTCGGATCTCTCCATAAATCAAACACTGGGGTGAAAGGATACGGAGTGTGTTTACCACTACACTATCCAGCCGTTGCAGGTGGAAGCTGGATTGGAGGAGAGCTAGGATCGGAAATGGGGTGTCCGAGGCTGGGGCCAGTTCACGGAGTCCGAATTGAGTCACAGGCGAACTCCGGGCGGAGAAGCATGTGAGTGAGCGGGTTTGGGACACAAAGGAACAACTCCGGCACAGCCTTGGGCTGGGGGTATAAATACCACAGCTTGTCTAGCAAAATATCATCTCAGTTTCGGCCCACATTCTCACCTTCTAAGCCTTAGCCAGCTTAGGAGTAGCTAAACCACCCAAACATCACCTAGAGGTCACCTGGAGTCGAGTTATACAGTAAATCGACCTCCGGTACTCCCTCACCGCTGTCAGACAGTGAACGGAGTTTCATTCGGCATAAGTTCAGCGTCGATTATCGAACCTTCTATTCCTCCCCTACATTAGTAGGGCAGTGAAATCTCTCAAGCAGCACAACAAAGTCTTCGGAGTTCGTGTGTAGCTGCTAGCTAAGGAAGTTGGCGGTGCAGAGCCCGCAGGAAGTTGCCTTCAGCAAGTGAACAGGTTGAGAAGTAGAGAGAGGAAACTCCATAGAGGCACAAAGAGGGGTAAAAGGAGGAGAAATTTGCAGGAACAATACTGCGGACACATCACTCCCCCGGTCTTACAATCTACGACTCAAATATACTTCGGACGACCGTGGTTCGTGGTCCAAGAAGCCCTTAAAACCCCATATTTCACCCTGGACTTAACGAATTGGACCCCACATTGCCTTCTGGAGTTCCTCCTCTGAAGAAGTGTAGAACAGATTCAACCTCCGTAACCTGAGAAGGCTAACTAGGCATCGGAGTTCGCTTGGTTCACCCTAGCTAGTAGGATTTTGAACGGACTGTTCAAATCCTTGTACGGATAACCCCACCAATATTATTTAAAACCCTCCCTACGTACTTGTCTACCGTGACAGAACAAATTCCCTCTAGAGGACGAGCATTTAAACATAGCCCAGATCTCCCCACCATCTGGCAGTTTGAAGTACCACAGTCTGCATCACAGCAGGATTCCGAATGCCAAAGGCGACGTGATTCTGTGTCAGTCTCAACTCCCATAGTCGGTACTATGTAATGACCAGACAACAGCCCAAATTCAAATGTCCGCAAGTGGAAAGGTATTTCTAATTCGCCTCTGGGGTATACCAACTAGTCTGAATCATTCAAATTCAGGAAGGGCACGCAAAGTTGAATGTTGAAACCCAATTTGGTCCAAATGTCGTTGGTATGAAATCCCACAGCAGCCAAAGTTGCGTGTCAAATTGATACAATATTGCAGGAAGCCCGTTCAGTTGATCAGTTGTGAATCAAAGCTTCTACATATCGACTTAGGTTGCAGTTAATTGAGCCCAGGTAGAAATGCCTGTGCACAGAGCATGTAATCGGACATGGTGTATGATGCACTGCTGCAATTATTGATGCGGGTTGCCCAGAATCTGTGTGGTGAGGTGGGGTTCAACTCCCCGTTCTCGAGTTTAGTTGGCTTAGTGTTGCCACGACTCAGGACAAATTGACTCTAAGTCGACTTGGGGGCACTGACTTGAGCCGAGTCAAGTTGAGTCAAAAAAATTGACTTGAATGACTCAAGTCGATCTCAAGTCGGGTCCCTCGAAGTTGTGTATTTTCACTAGAGGAAGCGACTGGGCTCATCAGAAAATCTTGACATTGGTGACTAGCATGACAGTAACATCACAGTAGTGTGACATCTTGTGACAAGTTAAAAAAAAACACTTCTCAGTTTTCGAGTTTTTATGAGGTCTGGAGACGTCAGGAACATTTTGGAAAAAAAAAAAAGCGATCTGAGTCGACTCAAGTCACCAAGTTGCGACTCGACTTTTTGAGTCGCGGCAACACTAAGTTGGCTTCAATAGAGTTTGTGGCAGGAGACTCGGATGATGTGAAATTTGATGTTGCACAGGCGACAAAATCTAGTCCGCTTAGCGAGGTGGTATACAGGGTATAGAATTGCGCGTAGTGTATGCACTGTTGCAATTATTGTGTGTTGAGTACAACCTCATGCAGTCGGACGGAGTTCAACTCCCTCTCCCCGAATTGGGCTGCAGGGATAATTTTTGTGTGTGGAATTTGCAGGTAGGCCTAGCTTACTAAAGCGTGCACTGAATTGAGACCACATATGTACAACGCTCCGTGTATAAACTGGAGGAGGAGGAGCGAGCGACGACGATGATGTACTAGCAAGAATTAATAGAGAGGCGGGGGACCCCCTACATTTGGGCGCAATGTTTCGTCTAGACAGACTCATCAGGTGGCTTTGTTCCCATTTATATCACGGCGATTGTTTGTCGGCACCTTTCGGGCCAAAGAATCCTGTGCCGGTCTGGGAATCGCGGAGATCGACAATTTAATAGTCTCAATGCGTCCTAAGAACCACTTCGTCCTCAATGTTCTTTTCTTCCTCTAGTACTTCATCGGTGGAATTTAAGCAAACTAGAGAGGTACTTGAACAAGAACCAGGTCATTTTCAACTAGAAATAATGTTACGGCTCGGTCAAGAGCGGGGAAAAAAGGTATCATTCAGGTTTCCCCTTTGCCATTGACAAATGACTGGAGTCTCGAGGCTCTCAACAGACAGGCTGACTAGGCTGTTACAGTAAGAAATGAAAGGAGAACATCTACGGCCTCTATGATTTTTCTTTCGAAATCCGAAGGCGCGCGTTGCCGGGAGCGGGATCCATAAGGATTGAGAAAAAAGAGGGATAAACGTTCGGCGCAAATCGTTGAAGAAGAACAGGTTGGTCCAACTGGGGACCGAGGAGTGTCTTGGTCGTGCCAGTGACAGTGCCGAGCCGTAGGGCCGATGCCTCCCTCGCGCAAGCACGAGAAATGCTCCAAAGATAGAACAATCAGAACAAAAAGATCAAGGGAAAACTTAGCTCAAAGTTGTTGAGAAACTCGGTGTGTGCGGGGGCTCAGAGTCAAAGTGGGTGTATTGGGATGGTGGTGGTACGATGGAAAGGTGTAGAATATTACATAAAGGGGACGGCTGCTCCCGTTCTCGTGGGACACCGGAGCCCGCAACCGAAATGTGGGAAATATGTGAAACGGAGAAACATACGTAAAGTGGCCGTTGTAAGTCCTTCAGCTAAGCCAGCCTCTCAACACACTGAACACTGGGAGACGCGCAAATACGGATAGGGAGATTTACGCTGCCGCCCTCAGCGCCGGATGTGGGTGCCCAAACCACTCCATGATCGATCCCCGGCGCGATCCGAGTGAACAATGGTGCCGAAGCCAATGTTTGCGTCGGGATTGCTACGAAGTGTGCAATAGAGAGGAATCAAGGTGGCAAGGAAGTAGGAAGAGACACTAAAGTGATGTAAGTAATGTAATGTCGAACCTGACCGTGTTTGAGCGCCGAAGCACGCGATGTTCAACCAAATAGGAATTGTGTAACTTGGCAGTGCAAAGTGATGGAACCTGGACGCACAGCTGCGGACAAAGCAAGAGGTGAGGCCCTAGAGTTGGGAAATCAAGCTCAAGAATAAAATCAGCAAGATGTGCAAGATGGATGAATAAAATGGAAAATGGACGCGCTGTGTTGATTTGTTTGGTTGACGCGTGCAGCCGGCAAAAGCCGTGAAGGCGACGAGCCGGGCGAGTTGCACTTCCACATCGTCCGTGATATGCTCAGCGATATCTCGTTTGTAAACGGTCACCCAGTACGACGTGTTGAAAGTAAAGGTTGGATCTAAATACGGGATAGCGAGTCCCGATTTCATGTCCAGGCTTTATCCAGGTCGAGCCAGAAGCGGCGTGACTCAATTTCATCGCATTCTGGAGTATGGGTGAGCTTGAGGGTGCAGGGTTGCAAAGCCCTGACTGTTTCGAAAGACACAGATAGTTAACAGTTCTAGGTGTTTTGGCCTTGGGCTTGACATCCTCAAAGATATCTCGGAGTAGACTTCCCACTCATCCCTGCCTTAAGAGTCAAAACAAGATGCGAGTTCCCTTGAGGGCGGTCGCTGAGTTGAACTCTCAAGACGAGATTTGTGCGGAACAAATCAAGCCCTCATTCAATGTGTATAAACTTCTGCCATTATTCAGGAAATTGGATTGTGTATTGAGTTCAATTCCCTGTGCCCGAATTGCCCGAGAGGGACGTTTTTTGTGCGTAATTTGCAGGCAATACGTTGCAGTCAATTGGGCCCACTTAGTGAAGTCCGTAAAATGATTGTAATCGGGCGTGGCACGATGTACAGCTGCTGCAACTATTTGTATGTGTACAATTGTGTGCGGCGAGGCGGGGGTTCGCCTCCGCGTGCCCGAATTGTTCTGCTCCCATGCAATTATTTACAGAGGTTGAATCGGGCGGTGTCTTTCTAGGCTGCTGTAAAGCATGTAATCAGGCGTGATGTACGGTGCACCGCTGCAATTGTTACATGGAAGTCTAGAACATATATGCAGCTAGGCAGGGTTTGACCGAGTTCTCTGCCATTGTTGTCCCTTAAGCTTTTGCAAGGAAGCCTACCGGTGGCTTCCAGGTTGTATGGACGAAATTGATCCCACTTCGGTCCCGATGTCCAAGGGTTGTTGTCGGTCGTAGTGTATGTTGCATAGCTGCAATTGTTATCAGTAAGGTGGCGTTCAAATCAATGCTCAAAACCGGATTCACTGCGGATGTCCCGGGGAGGCAAACACAGTTCAAGGGATTTGGTGTGTTGAACTGAACTTGACTGAGGGTCAGTAATATATCTGCTATCTATTGCGCCCTCAATGCTCTCCACTGCCGGTGACTGCCAAGATATACCAATTGGGAGGGTCACCGTCATATATTACAAGCTGCTTAGCCAGAGCCACACCATTTTCTCTGATATAAGTAATCTCAAGGGACTGTCACGATTAAAATTTCGGATATGGGAGGGGGGAGGGGAGGAGAGGGTCCCGGGGAGGTCTGAAAAGAAACTTTTTAGTATGGATTTTGCATGAAGTCCTGGGACCTCTAAAGCATGATTTGAGGTATG